GCGATGGATATAGGAATGGAGGTCGAGGGTATAAGGATGTGTGGATTTTATGTGCTACACACGCCTTTGTGTATCGAGTGTGTGTGGTGTTGTTGGTTTTGTTGTTGGTGTTGTTGGTGTTGATGATGTTGCTGTCTCAGCTTCGTTTTAATGTGGCCTAAATGCAAGTTATGTAATTTGCCAAAATATTTGACTGCAATTAAAAACATTTTCGAGCCCTTTATTCTCGCTTTAGGGCTTCGGCTCATAAAACTTTGCTTTGGCAATTTCTGACCAATTTCTGGTTTCGAGTTTTAGCTATTGGCATTTTTATGGCCCAGTTTTATGGGCACTATGGCCCACAATTGGTTTATAAATATGCACAGGGACAGGCAATGTTTCTGAAAATGAAGCTGGTTATGATATAGGAGCTAAGGCCATAAACAGGCTGGCTGGCGTACAACACACACTTAAGCGTGTTAGTTAGCTGTACGTATTACTTGGAGAGTCAGCTATTCTAGTCAATTGAGGAAAAAGCTTTGGGAATTCTATTGGAAGCACCGACTGAAGCAAGAAGTTAGGAAGTTTTAAAGCAAATATCATATTAGTGGAAGGTAACGATTTTTATTGATACATATTCGATGTATTTAGAAAAGGAAACATAATTTGGAAGGGATCTAAAATAGTACAGGTCTGTTTAATCTTTGGTAAAAATATTTTATTTTTGAAAAATGAAATTAAAAAAATGTGATCGATTTAATTATAACAGTAACTAATAACTCCCTTAGGAAAATGTGCTTAGAATGAGAGCCGTTAGGCAAATCAAATATTCTTTCTGGCCTGAGAATTTTGTTCGTTTTTACGAACATTTTAGGGCTACATATGACTTGTTTCTTCTTCTAATTTATGAAATACTGATACGCTTGATAAAGAATTCACATCGAAAACATTAGCTTTTACAAAATCAAATATATTTTAGGGTATCAGCAAACAAACACTTGCCCAAGCTGTGTAAACAAGAAAGGAAATAAAACCATGTTTGTTCTATGGTTGTGGCTTTGGTCCACTTATCATAGCTGTTGAGAGCCACACGCCCTTATGCTCAACTAATTGAATTTTTATGTAAATCCTTTGGTATGCCATGCTTTTAGGACGCCTCAGCCTGTAACTATTTAAAATTAATTAATAAAATTTGCTGCCAAGATTCAAACAAATTGCAGATATGCCTTCAGTAAACAAGAGGCTCGACTTCTCTGATGTGCCCGCACCAACCGGGTCAAGTGGCTGGGTTCTGGCACGTGTGTGTCTGTGTGTATCTTTGACTGACCACGAACCAAACGTCTGTCCGCACACAACAGACAACACGTAAAGGCTTTTTTCTTGCTCAGCCTTTGCTTGGCAGGTGGTTGGTTGAGCCTCAAAGCCAAACCGTATAACAAATACTTCAATAAACTAAATTAAATGTTTGCATATGGAGAACAAAAAATATTTCAGAGGAAGCAAATTTTACTCAAACAAAATCGAAACCAATTAAATAATAACTATAGAAACGTTTTTCCTCATCAATATTTACACATACTATGCATAGTACATATTGATTTTTAATTTGATTAGAATATTCTATTTGGATTTGTTGCTGTAACCGCTCTAATTGAGAAAATGCTTGCAAAAGAGAAAAGTACTTTTGCCAGCAATTTTGACCAACTCTTTTACTTGAGCTTTGAATATTTTTCAAAAGTTTTTTTCACACCAACTCCGTCGTTGTCGTTCGCTCATTAGCGCGCTAATTAGGCATTTGGACGCTGACCTTTGTTAAAGATTTTTTGAGTGGCGCTTGGGGCCAACAGGCGACACCTTTTTGATGTTTTTCACCCACCATTGCCTGTTGGCTGTTGATATTCTGAATTGAACTAATTAGGCGCAAATTTAATTAATAATTGATGCATTAATTGAAAGCCTTGTACGTTCATGTGAACGAGCACTTGAATTCAAATTCGCAACTGCATATCCAAAGTGTTTCTATGACAATATGAGTTTGATATTAAAAGTAAAATAAACGTAAAATTATTTTTAAAAAAATTAATGATGCAACTAAAAAATGACAAAAACAAGATGCTAGATATTATTGTAATTTGATAAGATTTTTCCATCATAGGCTTTCCTAGCATATACGACTTTTTTATAACCTTTATATTGTTTTACATACGTATCCAAAACAAGACTAATCAATGAAAATCATATAAAGAATATCGCAGTAAATACCTGACATTAATTTTAAATTTACTACATTTTGTACCTTTTATGACTAGTTAATCGAGAATAAATTCTTAACAATTGCATTTGGTTATTTAATTATTTTATTTAAGTATTTCGTACCTTAAGCAGTCCTTTAAAAACCACAACATCAAAAGACTTCATATTTTAATGCAATTAAATATTATTCTTGCTTTTTCATCGGCTGACTGAGTGGCAATTTTATTGCATAAGAATTATAGTACAATTACCATTATAGAGTAATGAGTATTACTTCCTTGAAGATTAAGGTACAAAATTCTCAGAAATGCACTTTTAATGTTCGCAGAAATTCTTTTTATCAGACATCTTGAAATGTTTTACAAACAAATTTTTAAATTAGAGACTCTTTTTCCATGAACAAAAGCCTCTAAAATAGAATAGAAAAAAAATTAAACCAAAAACTTGAAGTGCCGCACGGAACTCAAATGGAGACTCTGGTGCCTGAGAACGAATGCTAAAAAATGCTGAAGTGAAAACTTTTCCCTCGCCACATCTTTGTCATCTTAGGCCATAATGAAAATTGGCCGCCGGCAACGCGACTCACAAATTGAACTTCATTTGTTTTGCAACAGCGGAAAAAATAAAATAAAATCTTGTTGTAAAATACTTGATAAACTTGTCGCTAGCTAGGTGACCAGAGGTTGTTTTTTTTTAAAATTTTTTTTTTGTTCAGTCGCAGCAGGAAAAAAATGTTAAAGCATTTCAGGCTAGGCCAAACAAACGACGAGCCAGCGAGCCATTCAAATCAGAGCGTAAAACTCATAAAAATCTAAGGTGAGACGACAAACTTTTTCGCACTGGCTCTCACGGCAGCGTCATGCCTAATGTTTATTGGCGAAACTTTTGCATTTTTACAACTTTTACTTGCGCCAAAGTTGGGTGCCGTAATTCGATGCCTAGGCAGCGTGCGACAACAATCTCCTGGCCCGTTGCCGGCCATTTTAAAGTTTAAATTATACAGATAGCGGTGATACGACAAAAAAAAACAACAAAGATACAAACTTTGCAGAGTGCCTACAATCCAACGATTGTCAGGACATTAGGCCTACAATAGATGTTGCCGCCATCGCGCTCATTTTCGGTCGCATTCGTTCAAAGTTTGCACATTTGATGCTCACCGAACAGTGAACGGTGAGCGAAGAGCGGAGAGCGGGAAAGTGGGAGAGCGGCCGAGTGCATAAAAGAGAGTGCTTTACTGTTGGTTGGCTCGTTTATAATGAAACTTTTATTGCTTTTGTTCACGAAAATCGCCACAATTCTCCTGTTGTTCTACCACTTACGATGGCCATCTTTATTTCTTCAACAATTTTGCATTAATTCGTTTATTTAAATTTTAAGTAGGCCGCCATTTGCTGCCTTCATAGAAAATGGCTTGTTGTTCTTTTGCTTTCGATTATGCTAATGGTCTATCAACATTTCTTCGTTCTACTTACTTATGAATTTATCATATTGTTTTGTTGGATCTGGACTCGAACTTACCTGAAAATACATAAATAAAAAGAGCTTATTAATTAGAGTTGGATCGAAAAGATGAAGAGCTCAGTACTTATATGTATATGTCATAAAATTTTAAGATACTTGTATATTTAAAAACAATAGAAGTTTTCAAGATTTTCTCTATAAATTATAATTATTATTTTTATTTAATTAAGTATATATTTTTGTATAATTGTATTAAAAAAAAGAGAAGACATCACAATTGCAACCTAACAAGATTGTCATATTTCAATATTAGAGGTCTATAATGAAGTTTTTTAGAAAACAGGTAGAGATGAACAATAAATATTTTATATGTTTAATCACGAGTGGTTATACGCTGATTTTAGCTTAGAGATTACGAGTATTATTCCTAATTTTCCAGGCATTACATTTGTATATATTATTTATTAATCTGAATTGCAAATTTCTGCAGTTCCTTAAGTTGCAATTTAAAACTCCTATTAATATTTTTTGTAATAACCCTTGGCAGAGATATTTCTATAAAACTTACTTATTAGCTTCTTGTCTTCTATAAACATAAAATTATATTTCCTATTATAATCGTTTTATATTATACAATTTTCATGTAATTAGAGGACAAGGTGACAGGGGATGCTAAAAATTTGCAGGTGAAGCGGTCTGACTGCATTAAAACATTAAGGAATTTTATTGATTTATGTGTTTGATATTTTTTAGTAATTAAGTAGAAAGTCTTGTATTCTTTATTCGATTCGAAATTGAATTTGCAACACACTCTGTGGTAACAGCGTGTCTTTAATTAAGGATTAACAAGCTGTAGAGTCGATTGCGCCCACGACCTACAACGAATGCTCTCTTTGCTCCCGCGCTCATATCTTATCATAGGCCTGGACATGTTTTGGGTTTCAACGAAGACTGGACATCATTTGAATACCTATTGTGCCGTTGCGCTTTGTTTGGGTTCTATTCGAGTGATTGAGTTGCAATAATTATGAAGGCCAGTCTACCAACAAGTTTTCGGACTTTTGTAGTATTTCTGTCACGGCTTTCTACCTTCTTGCTTTTTTTTATTCAAACAAAATACATTTATGCATATACTTGTACATATTAATTATTAATCCGCGAATGTGAATCTATATACGAAAATATCATATATATATTATCATTCGTATAACATAGCAACCTTTACCCTAATTGTTAACAGAATAATTACTATCTAATAAGTGCAGGAATTTTCACCAATCGATCCACCAAAAAATCCATTGGAAATGCTCTTTATGCCCGCAATTAATTTATTTCTCTACAATGCATTCCTCGTTTATCTGACGAAGGACATAAAACGTATTATAGAGGGCAAGTATTAAATAGTTTTACAATCACATAAACTAATATTTTTTCTTCTACAGTTCCCACCGAATTCGTTAGCTTGTGGCATCAAATACCATTTATAGGTCGTTTTGTTGCTCCAAAGCAACCGAAGATCGAACCACCTCATGAATACAACGAATTCACGACGCCAATTCTCTGTTTAAATGTTGTAATCAATACGTCTTTGCTGCTGCCGGCCTTTGTGCAGGTTTGTGAATAATGCATTGGTATGAGAATATGTTTCGATTTAATGTTTGGTGTCCTTGTGTAGCACCGCCACTTCAGCATTTTGGTTGCCATAGTACTGTTGTGGAACTTCTTCATATTTGAGAGAATGTTCACGTTTATGATTACATTGATGTGGTCCCTTTGGTGGAGCAACATTACTGGCTTCTACTATCTCATTATCACGTTCTGCGGCTTTCTGATGAACTCCATGCACTTCTTGCTCATACTGGATGTCATGAAATTGCAGAGTGGTTGCATTTGCAAAGAAACCCGAAACGAAGTGGAAGTGGCCGATGAAAATGTTGATGATATTGGTGGTGATGGCCAGTAAATGGGGCCAACAATGTGTGTCGAAAATCTTGCCCCAAAGGCTACATATCATTCACTTACAGGCTTGGCTTTGCGTTAACCTTGAACAATGGCTGCGACAGAAACTTGCACACAACATCTACGCATAACTACAAATTCTAGGTCGTTCGGTTCAACTAATAAATATGCCAAAATGTACCACACGCACACAAATGAATCGTAGCAAATGGGGTGGCGATGCTCGGAAATAAAACCATTAAATATTTGCGGTTAAACGCACCAAAAACAAACCGCAAAAGTAAATCATACCGAGTAGGCATTTGGACATGAAAAAGCATGCAAGTAGAGAATTTTGTTTCGGCTTTTTCTTTCCTCTTCCATTTCTTCCGTTTTCCTTATTTGTGTCAGACACTTCTTCAACGTCGTACGCAAAATATTAGATTAGAAATTAGGATAACCAAAGCAAGCTCGGACAGCTCGAGCAGCTCGCACAGTCCTTGGTCCAGTCCAGAGCGCCCTTTTGCCCTGGGGAGGCTTCGGTCCGAGCAGTGGCGGCAGGAAGCTGAAGATGTTAAGCAACGGCCTGCCAAAAATTCGAAATGTTTCATCGTGAAACATAAATCATTGAAACTGACATCTCACCATTTTACTCTATTTGTATATGGTATGTACGAGTAGTAAATGTGTATGTATGTATATGTATATGTACATATATGTATGTGTGTGTATAGAAAATTGTGCTTATGTGTGTGCGTGCGTTCGCTTTGCGTAAAAGTTCAGAGGCGAAGTTCGTTGATTTTCTTGAACCTACACTGCAATATAATGCGGCACTTGCTTTTGCAAAAGTTAGGTCGGTTCTTTTCTTGTGGTGTAGCATCTAAAATATTACTTTATTCCCTCGAATATGGAGTGTGGAAAAAACTTAAAATTTTTCTTCTTCTTGGAAGCACTAAGTATTTGCTAATATTAAAGCACATATTGCAATTCAGATTCGGATGCCACATACTACGAATTTCTCTCTTACTATACCGTTATTTCAATCGAAAATACCAATAATACTGGAATATGTTTTGAATATGTTTAATAAAATAATTTCTTATTCTAAAATGATCCTTGAAAATTATTTTGCCTCAACTCTCTCACATATCTTGACAAGAGTTCTCTTAACAATCACAGCCAATTAACAAACTCTTCGAATTATTATTAATGCTCCAATATTGTTCTTCTTCTTATTTTCCAACTATTGCGGCAGATTCGGTATGAATTTCTCTCTTACTATATCATTTCAATCGGAAATACCTTTAACACTGGAATATGTTTTCTAAAATAATTTCTTATTCTAAAATGGGATCCTTAAAAATTATTTTTCCCCAACTTGCTGACATATCTTGACGAGATATCTCTTAACAATCGCAGCCAATTAACAAACTCTTCGTAATATTGTTAAAATATTAAACACTTTATACAACATCATAATTTTTTCAGACTTGAATTCGATTTTTTTTGTTTAAATCTTTATTCTTTATTTAAGATCTGTCCTAAGGAGGATAATTATTAATATACGAATTACGATTCATTAGCTCAGTGTCTTTATTTTTATTATTTTCTATTATAATTGCACGATGAGACTGTTTTCTTTATGTTGAACCCAAAAAAAATTGTATATGAACGTGTATTTCGGACACTGTTTTAATTTAGCACCAACTACTTCTGAAACTATGACCTGAGGAAACTGTGCGTCCAAACGCATAAAACAGATGGATGAATGAACGAAACGAGCACACATACGAGTAGACACCCACGTCGAACCCTATGTATGGCCTGCAAGTGTTTAGGACCCGTCCCTTGGCATATCACATCACTCCGGTGGCCACCAAATGTGGTGGCTAGCCCCAGAACTGACCCACATAAATCATTTTGCAATTGAATGCGAACGACGCTGACTGACGGCCACACCGTCCCAATAAGTATGGTGTATGGAGAAGCCATGACCAGTGGCTGGAACAAAACGCCGTTTGCTAAAAGTCACTGCCCATAGTAGATGAGCGTGAGATTTTGGGTTACGTTGCGAAAAGTTTAGAAGCAGCCAAACAATTGGCGAATGGGTGTGCGGATATTTGAGGGGGTGGTGGTGCCAGTGCCAGCGCATCTAACTGGGTCACTGGTGCGCTAATCGAGTTAAATTTGACTAAAAGCACACGCCAGCTTGCTGATGACTTTGCTCTGTTGGAGGAGGGGTGCGAAGGAAACCGAAATAGAAATTAAATGGGTCGATATGCGCAAATTGACTTAAACTGCTGGGTCATTGGGCAGAGGCAGTCGAACACAACCTACACATACGTACATGCATACTATATGTACCGAAACGTTATTTAAATGTTGGGAATGTAAATTTTGCAGACCTGGCGTAATTAGAAAATCCCTAATAGCGGGGGAGTGTGGGTGCAACAAAAAAATAAGACAAACTCATACTGTGTACAAACATAAGGTATGTGCTTACAAAATTTAGTGTATCTGGGTCTTATAGTCTCTGAGATCCAGGTGTTCATACAGACGGACAGACGGCGAGACAATAGATCGACTCGTCTTCTTATGTTGAACTGCCTGTTACGTTTGTTACTTCCCGCAAACCTTCGAGTAAGAGTATAAAAAGTCCACATAGCTTTTCAAAAGCATCTTAATTCTTAAATGTTATACACGATCGATAATTACGAATTTATATAAAAAAAATTTCGATAACAAGCGATTTAAAGCGATATTATTGTTAAGACGTCTAATTGCAGTAATACTTAAAAAACTATTAAACCAATTATTAAACCATTATCATGCAACATAGGCTTTTTAAAAAGTAATAGACAAAATTGTTGATATAGTCTTTTCTAGTATAAGCTTCATATGGGTCAGTTAATACTTATTAATTTAATTTTTAATTTTGTGCTGGTTATTCAATATAAAAGGTAGTGCTCTCTTCCATCGATTGTAAATAAAACCCTCTGTTGCATCAAAACTATCGATAGTCGATAGTTTTGGAGCTCTACTCTGTAGCACAAGTTGGCATTGCCAAGCCACAAATAAACTTAAAATCATTACAAAATTGTGTTGTTAGGTTCGTATTTGAACATTTCTTAGCTATTGCATATTACTCCTTGAAGAATCCACCTTACAATATGTCGTTGATGAAGTTACTGGGGACGCCAACACGCCGTCTTTTGTGGATGAGCCCTTGTCGCATTGGAACTGTATTTTTTAAATGCTTTGCAACGAGTAATCAGAACACACCTACGAAAAACAAATATGACTACGATTTGTTGGTGCTGGGAGGAGGTTCTGGAGGCTTGGCCTGCGCCAAAGAAGCCGTTGAGCATGGAGCGCGTGTGATTTGCTTTGACTTCGTGAAACCCACACCGGTGGGCACTAAATGGGGTGTCGGCGGTACCTGCGTCAACGTGGGCTGCATACCCAAGAAACTAATGCATCAGGCTTCGCTTCTGGGCGAGGCTGTACACGAGGCTGTGGCTTATGGCTGGAATGTGAACGATCAGAACATCAAGCCAGACTGGAAAAAGCTGGTAAAGTCAGTTCAGGGTCACATAAAGTCCGTGAATTGGGTGACGCGTGTAGATTTGCGGGACAAGAAGGTCGAATATGTGAACTCGATGGGAGTCTTTGTGAATGACCACACCATAGAGTACAAGACGAAAGAGAATGAAACGAAAAAGGTAACCGCCGAATATATTGTTGTGGCTGTGGGCGGACGACCCCGTTACCCGGACATACCAGGTGCTACGGAATTCGGCATTACCAGTGATGATATATTTAGCTTGGAACGTGAGCCCGGACGCACCCTTGTTGTGGGTGCCGGGTATGTTGGTTTGGAATGTGCCTGCTTCCTGAAGGGCTTGGGCTATGACCCGACTGTTATGGTACGTTCCATAGTGCTGCGTGGCTTTGATCGACAAATGTCCGAGTTGCTAGCTGCCATGATGGTGGACAGAGGTGTGACATTTTTACACACAACCATCCCAACGGCTGTTGTGAAGCAACCGGATGGGAGATTGTTGGTGAAATATTTAAATACCTCGACACTGGCGCAAAATAGTGAAATATTTGACACGGTTCTGTGGGCCATCGGACGGAAAGGTCTAATCGATGATCTCAAGCTAGATGCAGCGGGCATTAAGACAAAAAATGATAAGATTGTTGTGGATGGCAGCGAAGCCACAAATGTGCCGCACATCTTCGCAGTGGGCGACATTATCTATGGTCGTCCAGAGCTAACCCCTGTAGCTATATTATCGGGTCGCTTGCTAGCGCGTCGCCTCTTTGCCGCATCAAATCAGTTGATGGACTATGCTGATGTGGCTACCACGGTATTCACACCACTGGAATACTCATGCGTGGGCATGTCCGAGGAAACGGCCATTCAGAAGCATGGTAGTGAAAATATTGAAGTCTTTCATGGCTACTATAAGCCGACGGAATTCTTTATACCGCAGAAGAGTGTGCGTCATTGCTATTTGAAAGCCGTGGCTGAAATTACGGGGGATCAGAAGGTCTTGGGTCTGCACTATATTGGACCTGTGGCAGGTGAGGTCATACAGGGTTTTGCTGCGGCCTTAAAATCGGGTCTAACCATCAAGACCCTGCTGAATACTGTGGGAATACATCCAACAACAGCTGAGGAGTTTACGCGACTGTCAATCACTAAGCGTTCGGGCCGTGATCCAACGCCGGCCTCTTGTTGCAGTTAGGTTAAAAGAGACTTCTACTCGCATGCTTGTTTTTTTTTTCTTTTCAAAGTATATTTGTTTTCTGATTCAAATAAAACAAATCAGAATAAGTACTATTTTACAACTTCTGGAGTTTCTATTCTGCGCCCAAGGGATATACTTAATTTATAATATAGGAGGCTGAACAAAATGTACCCATCTTGACTGGAAATTCTCAAGCGACTTCTGTCTTATTATTATTAAAAACGATTTTAAAGACTGCAAATCGTTTGTGCATTTTCTTATGAAGACTTACTATAGGAGTATACATCAATTATCTCCCAATAATCAGCTCTGACATTAGTATGACAGATAATATCTGTGCTTTAATTCTTTAATTCCAAATATATAAATATTTATGTATTGTTTCTGCTGCTAATTTATTATACCCATTAATACGCAAATATGTTTAATATTTTATTAATTCACAAATCCCAATATAATCATCAACACTTGTAAATAATCTATTAAAAATTTATCATCACTACTTCCATCTTAATCTTGAGAATGCAAACTCTATTCAACCTTGTTGATAAACAAACATATTCACGCATATTTAAAGTTTCCTCTATAAAATTATTAAACTTATTTGGATTTATTTAGTTATATATCTTAGCTTAAGGTAACCATGCTTTTCCACGATTAGATTATACGATTATACGTATTTCTTCTAAAATAAATTAATAAATAAATTCAACTCCATATTAATTCTAGCACGGTTCCACTCTTCTAATAGCTCTTGAATATTCGAAAATTCTGGAAATGTCCATCATAAGTGACTGCTCGGGATGACAGGATGACAAAGTATCGACAATGAGTTTTTCATTTTCATTTTCTTTTATCGTCTACTTTGATTCGAGCAACTAAGCTGCATTGCAAGCAACTGATTACCATTCAAAACTGCTTACACAGGTCAACTGAAAACCGAATTTGGCAAGCGATGTGGCCAACAACAATGGCAAGTAATAATAGTAGTAATAACAAGAACCACAGGAGCGTCTACAACTGCAACTACAATGCAATTGCCAAAATGCCAAAGAAAATAGTTTAAGTGCAAAATTTTACGCTTTATCGAATTACCCGCGGGTCCTTTAACTTACTGGCGAACTTTTGCGTGCAACTTTGGCAGTAGGAAAAGTTTTGTGCACTTCCATTGCCAGCGGCCGCCGTTGCAGTTGCAGGTGCAGGTGCCACGAACTCGAGCCGAAACTCGAGAGTCACAGAAACTGTGAAGGGGTCGGGCGATCAGGACTGGGGTCATTGGGAAATTTATGATTGTGTAAGGTGTTGCAATGGAAACTAATTTTTGGTAAATTTGTTATATTTTCCCACTGTCAGGCGGACCATTTGTTAAATGAGTTGGCAAAGGTAATCGAAGAGTTATGGCCAAGTTGAGTATTGTGAAAAGTTATGGCCAAAAGTGGGTGGGCGTTCAAATTGCCAACTCACAGTGGCGTCACCTCCCCGCTCCCATCCTGCTAAACGCCTTGACCTGCATTGCAGTTTAACTACCGAACGCTCTTTGTTTGCCCTTTTACTGTTGTTTTCGGTGCCTGCCAATGCAAACAAACGTATAAATAACGTTAAGCCTTCAAAAATGGCCCAGAGCCTGCAAGCAAACAATTTAACCCATGAGCATACGTTCACTAGCTCGGCTGCTGTTCCGACCCCGGTCCATGACCAATAAAAAAATAATTTATAACAAAGCGGCCATCCAACAGCAACAACAACAGCAAAAAAAGAATGGAAAAAACGAAACTAAAAATGGCAAAACAGGGCCGCCCAAAAATGCTAAAGCAAGATTTATGCAAATCGGAAGTAAACATTAATCAAAATTTTTTCCCTATGCGCTCCCAACGGTCGCTTTACTGTTGTCGTTGTTGCTGCTTTTCTTGTTTTGTGTTCCTGACGTGCCACATTCAAAAAATACTGCAGTCAGATGTTAAGGACGACTAAGTAATGCTCTAAAAATACTTATGTTTAAAGAATATTTCAAATAGCTTTTAAGCTGGCAGATCCTCTTGAAGCAACTTATTTAATTATAAAGAACTATTTATTCTAAGGAAAAATGCAAAAGGATAAATTGCTGTTTTTCTTTACTTTAGAAAACTATATAAAATTATATAAAGAATATTTTTATAGAAAATACATTTTTTTTATATTATTTAAAGAGAAATCAGGCAAATATGACTTTGAAAAATTAATTAAAATTTTATAAAGAACATTTATATGAAAAATTCATGTTACTGAAATGTAATGAAAAAGGATAATTCGCTTATTTCTTTGATTTGATATATGACTTAATATGACCTTAGAAGATAAATAAGTTATACAAAGAATTATTTATATAGTATTAAGTATAAAAATCATTTATATGGAAAATAACTTTTGCTTTTTTCTTTGATTTGATATATGAGTTTATATGACATTAGAAAATTAAATAAATTATATAAAGAATAATTTATTCCATTTTACTAAATAATAAAAAAGGATAATTTGCTTATTTCCTTGATTTTTTTTTAAATTATTTAAAGAAAAATCAGGCAAATATGACTTTACAAAATTCAATAAAATTTTATAAAGAATCATTAATATGGAAAATACATTTTACTGAAATATACAAACTACTTTTGTATTAAGTTAAATAAAACTGAAAAAAGTAATTAAAAAAAGAGCATTTTTTGGTAAATAAGCACCTATATTGTAAATGCACTCGTTTTGAGCAACTCGTTGAAAGTTTTCAAGGAATTAGTTTGAAGATATGTGAAGTTATGAAATCATTTGATAAATGAGAACAAAAAAAAGTATGTTTCAATACAAACCCCCCAATAAATAATGTTTTTTTAAATTTATTTATTTTTAATGTAACTGATCATTTTATTAATTTTATGCCTAATCTTTTGTTCATTTTAATGCCATGCCTGATCACAAATGCACGACAGCCGTTTGTGAAGCGTATTAAAAACGTAGCATACTTAGTGGCGCCAACTTCCTGGTGTCGTGAGATTGCACGCCTACGATAGACGGCATGTGGGTCAGATAATGGAAGACAACGTCGGCCCAAAAAGGCACGCCATAACTTTGTCGCAATGAGCAAAACTTTAGCATGCCCTGTTTCTCTCTTTTTTTTCCTTTTTAGCAAGTACTTCATAAATTAAAACTTCATGTGTCAAAAATGACAATTTTTTTGCAAACTCCCCTCCTCGATGCTGCTGTGTCATTTATATTGAAATGTCAAATCAGCAAAACGTGTGTTTCGCTCATTCTCAACTGTCGCAGGCGTATTGCAGTTGTGTGGCTGTGTTCGTGTCCTTGCATAGGCGCCATGTTGTCTGACTGCCCAGTTATCAACATGTCCGTCCTTTTTGTGGGTGTGTGGGTGTGCTGGCGTGTGTCTCAAGCAGTGCGTGAAGTGTTAGTCAAGTGCCAAACAATTAGTCTTCGTTTTGTGTGCAAATTGTCATTGTGAGTCATTTTTTGTTTGTTGTCTCGCATGCTGCTCAGCTATTTGAAGCGCAGTCAGCTGGATAGACAAAGGACTGGCATTGTGCCATGCATGGAACACACGCACATTGTTGACATGGAGATGTGTCCATTCGGTTCGACGCTGCTCCTCCCCTTTTGGAGACTCGTGAAAGCATGTGTAATGAAGTGGGATTTCGATGCCAGGCACTAAGAGAGAGACACGGTGCTCCCGAAAAACTGAAGGATTGAAACAAATATCCATATCGTATTTTTGATATTTCGAAGCAGTTTTTGCATTCGCCTATTCAGTTAATTTAGTGCTTACCACTTTCTTTGATCTAGTTTTATTTCTGTTTGCCCCTTCTAGGGGCTGTTATTAATTTTTTGTTCATGCCTTAATTCTGCATTCCTAACCGTGTGTTGGCAAAATAAATTGTAATGCCATTACTTAATTTGTATTTACAAGAATAGGTTGAATGAATAAAACAGTCTCAAAAGTAGTAGAGTATTTGCTTTAGCCAATTTTTTGTGATATAGATATAGGTCTGCGCTATGCTTCGATCTATGATTCCAACTATCACTCTTTCTTTCTACCTTTTTAGAAATAATAGATTATCTGAAATGTTTTAATTACTTTACTTCAGATAGAGGAAAAATAAAAGTTTTACAAATAAGCTAAGTGATAATTTTACCTATCAAAAGGACAAGAAGGTAGTAGAATTAGTGAGACAAGTATTTTATTATTATTTATAAGAAGGTTGCTTGTTTTTTTTTATTATTATTTTTTTTTATTTTGCGCTTCACTTAAGTCTTATTTAATCTACCAAGTTTTGCGATTACAAAGAAAACTACTTAAAGTTTAATCGAAATATATGAAGATGTTAATGTTTGAGTTCTAAGAATTGGAGTCTAATTCAATTTGATAATAAATCAAATAAAAAACATTTTTCAAAAATGTAAAAACTGAGAATTGTATGCTTATTGGGCAAGCAGGAAGAGGAACAACCTTACTATAGTGAACGATCTAGCGATAAAAGTTCGTCTTTTCATGCAAAGCGTTCACAAGAATTGCAAATGCAGTCGTTAGCAAGGGCAGTTGACTCATTATAGACAACTGGCTTTTATTCTAGGAATAAATAAGTGTTCCTTTTAGACTCATTACAGACAACTGGCTTTTATTCTAGGAATAAATAAATGTTGTATTTAGCGGGAAACGCGTGTATAAAGCACTCAACCATATGGTTGGGGCCATTCATGCAAAACTGTTCACAAATTGAGGTGCAATCAGCAGTCCACGAAAACAAAAGCTGCAAACAAAGCGGTCCCAATCAGCAACGAGCCAGGCCAATAAACAAGCACCAGCCAGGCTAGAGTAAATTAAAAATCTCATTTAAATTAATCCTCATCGAAAGTACTTTGGACTGACAGTACAATTACAAACGGCTTGCCGACTGCCGCCTTCCCGCTCGCTGCTCATCGCCCACACAAGCGTACAACTCAACATTAGTGGTGTTGTTGCTGCTGTTTTTGTTGTTGTTGCTGTTGGCATTGACGCTCAATGTTTGTTGTCGTTGTCGCCATCAACGCATTACAAACAATTCCACTTTAGGCACGCAG